GGGGTTTTTCAGATTTGAGGGCCGCCCGCCCCGGGGCTGGAGTTTCAGTTCGAATCCGGACTTCCCGGCTGGGCGGGGCGTGCGGTGGGACCTAGGGGGCGGGCCTCTCGGATCCTGCAGCTCGAGGGGCGGAACTGGGTGGAAGTCCTGCTGCGCTGGGGCTGAACCTTTGAGCCCCCAGCGGTCGAGCCAGGAATCTGGATCTGTCGCTAGGAAAAGGGACCGCGGAAGAGTATCCCCAGACCTGGTAGCAGCTTGAGTGCTCCCTCCTCCCGTAGTTGGCCATGAACGGCAGGGCCCGGAAAGAGGCCATCCAGGCCACAGCGAGGGAGCTCCTCAAGTTCGTGAACCGGAGTCCCTCTCCTTTCCACGGTAGGTGATCTGGGCTAGGGAGGCCAGGAATGGGAGTGACCTGACCAACTTCCATTGCTATGAGAGAGCCCTTTCTCTACAGTTGTGGCTGAGTGTCGCAGCCGCCTCCTCCAGGCTGGCTTCCGTGAACTCAAGGAAACAGAAGGCTGGGATATTGTACCAGAAAACAAGGTACTAGGGATAGTTTGGGGGCAGAGGCTGTTTCAGAGTCCCGTGTCCCACGTGATTAAGCAATTCACACCCCTGTCTTTCAACTCTTCTCTTCCAGTACTTCCTAACCAGAAACTCCTCCTCCATCATTGCTTTTGCTGTGGGGGGCCAATATGTTCCTGGCAATGGCTTCAGCCTCATTGGGGCCCACACGGACAGTCCCTGCCTTCGGGTAAGGAGTTAGGGCTCTGCTGGACTGAGGGAGGTGTGGGGGCATAGTGAAAAGAGATTCAGAAGGTACAGTTTGGAACGCCCTATCCCTAGGTACAGGAAATAAGGTAGACCACCTGAGACCCTCCTCACACACACTTTCCACAGTGAACTGATGTGATATTTGCTCCGTATAACTCGTCAGTTGCCTGAGTCTCACTCCAGATGTTGTCATCCAGACATTCTCTTTCTTCTCATCTCTATGCTCAGGTGAAACGCAAATCTCGACGAAGCCAGGCGGGCTACCACCAGGTTGGTGTAGAGACCTATGGTGGTGGGATCTGGAGCTCGTGGTTTGACCGGGACCTGACCTTGGCTGGACGAGTCATTATCAAGGTGGTATAGAGGGCCTAGGAACTGGGGAGGTTCTCACTTCAGCAGCCTGAAGATTGAATGACTCATTCCTTCAGGGTACCAGTGAAGAGTCTTCGTGGTCATTCTGGGTTTAGTGAGGGATTTAGTCGGTTGGATTTGGGAGGTGCCCAGTTCTGACCTGGCCAGTTGGCCACAGTGCCCTACCTCAGGTCGGCTGGAGCAGAGGCTTGTACATGTGGATCGGCCCATTCTGCGCATCCCACACCTGGCCATCCACCTGCAGAGAAGTATCAATGAGAACTTTGGGCCCAACACAGAGATGCACCTGTGAGTCTACACCAAGGGCTGTGATGACTGTGAGGGGTGGAATATGGCACCAGGTGACAGGGGTCCCATTGGGACCCAGAGGATCACCTCTTAATGGCCATAATCAAGTTCTACTTTTGGAGTCTAGTTTCTACCCACTGTCTGCTTGGGGAGTGGGCTGGAAATTAGAGGACAAGGAGAGGCCTACGTTCAAACAATCCATTTCCCCACAGAGTGCCTATTCTTGCCACAGCAGTTCAGGAAGAACTGGAGAAAGGGACTCCTGAACCAGGGCCTATCAATGCTGCTGTAAGAAGCTCCCCTGCTCCTAGGATGGTGGGTGAGTGGAAATCGGTCAGTCCCCTAGGAAGGGCAAGCCCTCCTCCCACCATCTTGTGCCTTACAGGACGAGCGGCATCACTCAGTCCTCATGTCCCTGCTCTGTACCCAGCTGGGGCTGGGTCCTGAGAACATCTTGGAGATGGAGCTCTGCCTGGCAGACACCCAGCTTGCAGTAAGGAGGGCTGCAGGGTTTTGTGGGTGGGGTTCTCCAGGGTCCCAGCTAACCACAGCACTTAGCCCCTCTGTTAGTCTCTCCTTTTTCTTCCTAGTAGATTCTACTTCCTTTCCTTTCGCTAGTTCCTGGATAAACAGAATATCTCCCCCCAAGACCCGCCAATGGGAACTTGATTAGGGTGTGGGCCTTTCCCAGATCCTGCAACTCAATGGGCGGAACTGGGTGGAAGTCCTGGTGCCGTTGGACCAAACCTTTGAGAACAAAGCCAGGAATACAGATCTTTCTCTAGGGAAAGGGGAAGAAACAGAGATCTGAGTGTTGGAGCTCTCACTTCTAGGAGGGTTGGATCCTCAGTGTGTGAGGTGTGAAGTGCGGTCCACAGTTTCTGCTGTTTGTGATCCCTGCTTTCTTTGACCTATGCTGGCTCTGAATCTCTGAGAGCAAGAGGCCTGATGCCTCCCAGCTGCTAATGTAGAGAACTGCTAAATCTTTGGATCCTCTGTCCTAAGTTTCTGATAGCTGGTTTCTTCCTTTTAATTGGCATTTTGTTTGGTTTTTTTTTTTTTTAAGATTTTATTTATTATGTATACAACATTCTGCTTCCATGTATATCTGCACACCAGAAGAGGGCACCAGATCTCATAACAGATGGTTGTGAGCCACCATGTGGTTGCTAGGAATTGAACTCAGGACCTCTGGAAGAGCAGCCAGTGCTCTTAACCTCTGAGCCATCTCTCCAGCCCCTTGTTTTGGGGTTTTTGTTCTGTTTTTTTTTCTGAGACAGCATTTCTCTGTGTAGTCCTGGCTGTCCTAGAACCTGCTCTGTAGACCAGGCTGACCTTGAACTCAGAGATCTGCCTGCCTCTGCCTCCAGAGTTCTGGGACTAAAGGGGTGTGCCCCCCCCCGCCTTTTTTTTTTTTTTTTTGTGTGTGTGGGGTGGTGGGGGTGGGTGTGTGGGGGGGGGAGGGGAGGGAGGGCGAGAGAGAGAGAGCGAGAGAGAGAGAGAGAGCACTTAGCCCTCCCTTTACCTTTCCCACTGGTAGATACTGTAGGTCACCCTTTCCTGACCTCATTTTCAACTGAACAGCAGGAATTTTTTCCTAAGCCAACAGTCAGGAGTAGTTGCTCTGGCCCTTGGCAACAGAGAGAAATGGGTGAGGGGCCAGGGCACTTAGGTCATGGTGTTGGTCCTGTCCTTCTAGGTCCTGGGTGGAGCCTATGAAGAGTTCATCTTTGCTCCTCGCCTGGACAATCTGCACAGCTGCTTCTGTGCCCTGCAGGTGAGGAGCCAGAGCACTCCAGGCAGTGCATACCCATGAGAAGTGGGGAGTTAAGAATTGAGATGGGAGGCTTACCTTCAGTCCCAGGAGGTGATGAGAGATGGCTACTTAACCAGGCCTTCACCCAGCTGGTGCTGGGTAGAGCCCAAATGCTGCAGCCTTGGCATCACTATTTCTGTGCTGGTCTGAGACCAGGAGCTGAAGTATAGGAAAGCTGCCAGGTGTGCCATGATGTCTTCTCCTACTCCAGTCTGCTACTTTCCTTAGATTAACAACCTCTGCCTGAAAAGAAAGTCGTTGCCACCATGAAAAACAGTATGTCTCGCTGGGTGTTGGTGGCACACAACTTTAATCCCAGCACTCGGGAGGCAGAGGCAGGCGGATCTCTGTGAGTTCGAGGCCAGCCTGGTCTCCAGAGTGAGTGCCAGGATAGCCTCCAGAGCTACACAGAGAAACCCTGTCTCCAAAACAAAACAAAAAAAAAACAGTATCTCTCACTTCCTTCTGCTTCCCCCATCTGCCTCCTGACTTGAGTCTCCTCTCAGCATTCTTTGTGTTCCTTTTACCTCAGTAGGGCGGTCTGTACCTGCTCACTGTCATATTCTCCACCTTCTCTCTACCCTGGTCAAGCCACTTCTCAGCCTCCTACCCTTTACCCTTCCTCTGCCTTTTAACTTCCCCTTCCCTGCCTGGCTTGTGGTTGCAGATAGGCTCTGGGTAGTTACTGTAGACCTGGGGCCCATGTCTGCTTCTGAGCCAACCAGCTGGGTTCGTGGCCATCTCTAAGCTGTTGTTAATGGAAGCCCATCAATTTGCATGATCTTCATAATCGACCTCCCAGGATTTTCATCTTTTTTCTGTCTTCAGCAGTGTTCTCCTGCTTTCTGCAAGGGAAGGTATGAGAGCCAAGTACCCAGAGAATGGATTCACCTGTCCCATTAGAAAGGTCCTCCACTGCCAGGCAGTACCCTAAGAGAAAGGTTGCTAAAAACCAAACCCACTTCACTGCCAGGGCAGCATGCTGTTCCCGGGTACTGGCAGACTAAGTTGTAAGAAGCAAAGGGGCAAGGATGATGACCCTGTCTCTTTCCCCATCCAGGCTTTGATTGATTCCTGTGCAGCCCCTTCCTCCCTGGCCAGGGAGCCACATGTGCGCATGGTCACATTCTACGACAATGAAGAGGTATGTGGATATGTGGAGGGCTCTGGGCAGAGGTCCTTCTATGGAGTCTTTAGTAACTACCTGGTGACAGAGACCCTAAAGATGGGGGAAGGAGAGCTGCCAGTGCTTGTGTGGCATGCGCTGCTCCCTTCTGTTTCTACATAGACCTGCTTCTAACTGCATTCCATATCTATCCCGTATTCTCTGTGCTCCTTGCTAAACTCCTACCCCAGGGACAGGGGCACTATGTGAGCTGTCCTTCAGGTCCTCAGCTGTATGTTTGGCTGCAACCTTAGACTCTGTAGTGGAGCTTGACAGATAGCTAGTTCTCTCTTATGTAGCTCCCTAGATCAGTTAGCAGTTAGGATGGGTCTTTTGTCTATTTCTCTGGGTGTTTGGCTGTTCCATCTCTGGCCATCTTGTCTACACCCAATCAGCAATAAACGAGAGGGCAGAGAGAATAGATGCCTGTGTCTTTGAGAGTGTGGTTCAGAAATGAAATTCATTATTACTTACACTCACAGAACTTATTGTGACCATATTTAGTGACAGGGAAGACTGGGAATGATATCTCTAGCTGGGTAGTTAGTTGCATAGCTACAACTTGGGTCTTCTGTTAGGAAAGATATCAGTTAACAGTCTCTGTCACATGCATCAAGGGCAATTACCCAGTGTGCTGTGGCGCCTGCTGAGCCCTCAATGTCAGTGTTGGGGACCAGTGGGGAAACCCCATCAGTGTTATTTCTAGCCCATAAGTGACTGGGAATTAGTCTGGCCCCCGTCCACTGTCAGATGGTCAGTAATGACTTGGGTGGGCATAGGGAAGTTTCTAAGGATACCAATCCCACCAAGTGACTCATGAGGATCCCAGGCTATTCTGAACATGGGGCTCTTCTTACTGACCTTCATGTCCAGGCCTATGATCTGATTCCCAGAGTAAAGTCTCTGCCATCCCCAGGTGGGGTCAGAAAGTGCTCAAGGAGCACAGTCTCTTCTGACAGAGCTGGTACTACGGCGAATCTCAGCCACACCTCAGCACCTGACTGCCTTCGAGGAAGCCATACCCAAGTCCTTCATGATCAGTGCAGACATGGCCCATGCTGTGCACCCAAACTATGTGTGAGTCTTCCTACCAGACAGTACTCACTAACCCAAGACCAGAGACCCAAGCATAGACCACTTACAGGCTGGCCCCTGGCCCTGCCTCTTTCTCTATCTCCTGGGTGGTTCAGGGGTCTTCCTTTTGATTCTTCTAAGGCCAGACTTAGTGAAAGCCATGTGTTGCCTAAGCCAGGTACATGTGGTAGATAAGCTTTGTCTATAACCTTGTTTCCTTTCATGGCTAGAATATGCCTGAAATGGTTTTTTGTTGTTGTTGTTTGCTTGTTTTTTATGCTCTTGAGGGCCTGCAGGGCTGGGTGGGAAAGAATGCCATGACCAGTCAGTGCTGTCTGCCTTGGAAGGGGTGGTGGATGCTGACAGGCCCCCATTACAGTGTGCTGCCCTGACCTTTACCAACTTTCACAGGGACAAGCATGAAGAAAACCACCGACCCTTGTTCCATAAGGTAAGGTGCTTCCTAAGGATGTGGTAGCCTGGCTGACTCCGGCCTATGTGGTTCCCTCTGGTCCTCATGTCATCCCTGTTCCCCCTTGACTTTTCCCAGGGTCCTGTGATCAAGGTGAACAGCAAACAGCGCTACGCCTCTAATGCAGTGTCAGAGGCTCTGATTCGAGAGGTGGCCAGCCAAGTTGGGGTGCCCCTGCAGGTGAATGTGTGTCTTTTCTGGGAAGGCTTGGTGGAGGGAGCAGGATGAAGACATAAACTGATGTGCCCCAGTGAGTGGAGAACACAGTGGATGGGCTTTTGTGGAGGGAGTCCCAGTAAATGAAATCAGGGGTTTGGGTACAGAGCTAGGTGCATTGCTGGTTTAATGTAATGACTTTAGCCTGGTTAGCCTGAGTTTTAGTGTCCCCTATCTATAAGTGGGGGTGATAATGATCCCTGCACTGCTGGTTTCTGTAAGGGTTACTCCTGCCACTTGGAAGGTTAGTCCTGCCTTTTCTCCTAACACCAACTTTCCCTGTGTCTTGTACCCCAACCCAGAAGGAATATTCAGGACTGGAGAGCCTAGAACCCCAACTGTTCACTTTTCCTCTGGCCTTGAAATCACCCATCATTGTCCTCAGTCACACTGTGTGTACATATATATTCCTACATCAGGGATTTGGTCTAAAGTGGTCCAGTAACAGACAATACCCAGTTCTGGTGGAGGCAGGACTAGACAAGGGCTGTTTTTGCTTCATTGTCTCCATCTTGCCCCATGTAATGCCACATCATTCTACTCACAGAGATGCCTTTGGGAGGAAGTGAGAGCTAGCCACTGAAAAAGGAGGACTCTGGGAAGGTCCAGGCAAGAACATCTCAACCTGAGGGAGTGCAGATCTGCAGGGGGAATGGCAATGAGTTAGAGATGACATGAAGCCTAGTAGTGCAGAGAAGGCCAGGGCTAAGAGCAGGTGGGGTAAGAGGAAGCTCACCTAGGCCAGTTTGCTTCTGAGACCTTGGAAGAGCATTTCTATTCTAAGGTAATGTGAAGACATTTTTTCCTAACAGTTTACCTCAGAAGCAGGGCATGTATACTTCAGAAAATTAGAAAAGACAAATAGAAATGAAAAAATAAAAATTGAACCAGGTATGGTAGCACACATTTGTGACCCTAGTTCATAGAAAGTAGTGACAGGAGGATTGGGAATTTAAGGTCATTTTCAGCCACATAGCAAGTCCGAAGCCAGCCTGAGCTTCATGAGACTTTCAGGTCGTGCCAGGCAGTGGTGGTGCACACCTTTAATTCCAGCATTTGGGAGGCAAAGGCAGGTGGCTCTCTGACTTTTAGGCAGATCTCTGTGAGTTCCAGGATAGTAAGGGCTACACAGAGAAGTTCTGTCTCCAAAACACAAAACAACAACAGAAACCCAGAGGGCCCAGCGTGGTGGTGAATGCCTTTAATCTCAGCATTCTACTTGTGAGGCAGAGGCAAATGGAGCACTGAGAGTTTGAGCCTGATCTACACAGTGAATTCCAGACCAGCTAGGGATACATATTTGAGACCCTGTCTCAAAAAGAAAAAAGTATCACTAGAGTTTTATATATTCTTCCAGATTTGTCCTGTGCATTTATTTTAAACTTTGTAAAATTAAATTACTGGATACATTTGTTACCTCTTTTCAAACACTGGCTGGACAATAGCTGTACAAGCAGTGAGCTCCCCTTTTAGCACTAATTGATAATCCTTGCTTGATCAGCAATTACATTAGAACTTACTGACCACCCCTTCCCCCATTCTTTCAACTTTACCATTCTGTGAGGTAGAACCTGTCCCCATTGACCAGGCTGATGAGTTATAAGGTGATTCTTGGGCCAGCAAAATGGCCCAGTGAATAAAATCACCTGCTACAAGGCCTGGAAACCTGAGTTTGATGCCTGAGACCCACATGGTGGAATGAGAGAACTCATTCCTGCAAGTTGTCCTCTGACACATGTACACAGCACATGCATGTGCATATGTACACACACACAACTTTTAAAGATGATTCTTAGCACGAAAACAATTGCTCATTCTTTCTCTTTAATAACCTTTTCCAAGGTGAAGTTTTAGCCTAAATGTCATTACAAATTAATGTCTTGCTTTGCCTTTTTTTAAAAAAATTTTTTTTATTTATTTATTATGTTTACAACATTCTGCTTCCATGTATATCTGCACATCAGAAGACGGCACCAGTTGTCATAGAGGATGGTTGTGAGCCACCATGTGGCTGCTGGGAATTGAACTCAGGACCTCTGGAAGAGCAGTCAGTGCTCTTAACCTCTGAGCCATCTCTCCAGCCCCTGCTTTGCCTTTTTTACTATCAAAATTGAGAATGTTCATTGGTTGAATGCTATCCACAGAATTATGATGCATGATGCGCCAATTGTCCTGGCTCTGACCAGTGAGAGCCCTTTCCTATGTGACACACTCTTAAAAGTTACCCTTTTTGTCACAGTAAGAAATTTCAGCCTCATATTTTCATTTCTCTTCTTAAGATTTGGCAGCTAGGGAAAAAAAAAGGTGGTATGTTTTTTTTTTTTTTTTTTTTTTGGTTTTTGTTTGGTTTTTGATTTTTTGAGTCGAGTTTCTCTGTGGCTTTGTAGACCAGGCTGGCCTTGCACTGTGCCTCCCGAGTGCTGGGACTAAAGGTGTGTGCTGCCACCACCCATGTGCTTTGCTTTGTTTTCAGTCATGAATTAATACTGTGATTCTTATTTGACAAAAAAAAATGGCTTTTATTTTATAGTTCTGTTTTACACTTAAAAACATTAAAATCTAGCATCATATTACAATTTCCTTGGTATTTTTTGTTTGTTTGTTTTTTCGAGACAGGGTTTCCCTGTGTAGCTTTGGAGGTTGTCCTAGAACTAGCTCCTGTAGACCAAACTGGTCTCGAACTCACATAGATCTGCCTGCCTCTGCCTCCCAAGTGCTGGGATTAAAGGCATGCACTACCACCACCTGGCATGATTTCCTTGTTTTTTTGTTTTAAGATAGGATCGTACGTAGCCTATGCCAGCTTCAAACTCATTGTGTAGTAGAATATGCCTTAAACTCCTGATCCTCTACCTCTCAAGTCTTGGAATTACAAGTATGCACCATTGTGCCCTACAGGGTATGCACTGTAGAGGATCAAACCCAGGGCTTCATGCATGTTATGGAAGCACTCAACCAAGTGAACCACACCCTCAGCCCAGCAGTATTTTTTAAAACATTAAAAGCTACCGAGTGTTTTTCTTTGTGTATTGAAGGTTCAGATTGGGTGTGAAAGTAACAAAACTGGTGTTTTAAACACTTGGAGACAAAGAACTAGATCATCTTCCAGCCCTGAGGCCCTGGGGCAGCTTCCTCCTTGATCTTGATGAGCATACCTAAGTGTTTAACTTATGCCCTCTCCTCTCCCCAGGACCTCATGGTCCGGAATGACTCCCCCTGTGGCACCACCATTGGACCTATCTTGGCTTCTCGACTGGGGCTTCGGGTGCTGGACTTAGGTAGCCCCCAGCTGGCCATGCACTCTATTCGGGAGACAGCCTGTACTACTGGAGTTCTCCAGACCCTGACCCTTTTCAAGGTAACTCCCACCTGACTCTCCTCTCCATCATTAAGTGGCTAGCCTCATGTTGGGGCTGTTTGCTATGGTGTAGAAAAACAAGGGTCCTTGTGTCAGCTTCCTATCACTCTCACAAAATAAGTGATAGTCTGTAAGAAGTCAATATTTGTTTTGGCTCACAGTTTTAGAGGCTTTATTCCATGGTCAGTTGGCTTGTTAATTTAAGGCCTGTGGAGAGAACATGTGGTAGAGGAATCTGTTCCCCAGAGAGTTGTCAGTGAGGGTGGGGGGAGAAAATGGGTCCCAGTGTCCCCTCAAAAGTGTGCTTTATCCTGAGTGACCTAACTTCTTCCCTTCAGGCCCCACCTCTTAATGGTTACACTACCTCTCACTAGTGCCATGGGCTGGTGACCAAGCCTTTAACACATGGACCTTTAAGACATGGACCACAAGCCATACCATCCCTTGTTTCAAGGCCTCAGAAAGTGGTTGGCTGGGAAGGGGCTGAGGAGTGAGACACCAAGCATAGAAACCTCGATACTTGTACATACTAGAGCTGAAGGCGATGGAGCTGAGTGGTAGAACTTGCTGCTTGCTAATTCCCATTTGCCTCTCCTCTCAGGGCTTCTTTGAGCTGTTCCCCTCTGTAAGCCGCAACCTCGCAGTGGACTGAGGCTTCTTGATGAGGCTCGTTGTGTTCACCCTGTGACTGAAGGGGAGGATTTCAGCTTGTGATGCTGGGTTATTAAAGTGGATTTTCCCTTCAGCTCTGTTGTGCTTTTTCAGAAGCTACGTAGTGGGGGTCTAGCCTGGCCTGAACCTCTAAAACCAGAGCAGAAACCAGGTACAGCAAAGGATAAATTCCTAGAAATAAAATTAATCAAATGTGTATATACTCAAAATGCAGGTAAGTCCTGTTAGGTTGTCCCTCCTTGTGTCTCACCTGAGCCAGAAGCTCCTGATTACAAGGACATCACACCACTTCTTTTTTATTTTATTTTACTTTAGTTTAGTTTGAGTGTTTTTCTTGCATGTATGTGTTGGTGGGGGGTTACCACATGTGTGCCTGGTGCCCATAGAGACCACAAGAAGTACTGGTTCTTCTGACTGTAGTTATGAGCCAGCATGTGAATGCTGGAACTGAACCCAGGTCCTCTGCAAGAATAACACGGACTAAACACTGAGCCATCCTTCCTGCCCCAGCTTCACACTTCTCAAAGCACTTTCATTCATTGTGATTTTGATCTCCCAGACTTTTTTTATTTTAAAGAAGCCTGCACTTTCATTCATTGTGATTTTGATCTCCCAGACTTTTTTTATTTTAAAGGAGCCTGTCACTTTTTTTTTTAAAGATTTTATTTATTTATTATGTATACAACATTCTGCTTCCATGTATATCTGCACACCAGAGGAGGTCACCAGATCTCATAATGGATGGATGTGAGCCACTATGTGGTTGCGGGGAATGGAACTCTGGAAGAGCAGTCAGTGCTGTTAACCTCTGAGCCATCTCTCCAGCCCCAATCTCCTAGACTTTTAAGAGGTTAGAATATGGGGCTGGAGAGATAGCTTAGTGGTTAGGAACACAGGCTGCTCTTGCTGAAGGCCCAAGTTCAGTTCCCGGCACCTACATCCATCACAACCATCTAACTCCAGTTCCAGGAGAACTAGTACCCCTCTTCTGGCCTACCGGGACACTGCATGTACACCCATGCCATGCATACATACATGTATGCAAAATATACATATAAAAATCTGTTCTAAAAAGATGATTCAGCAAGACCATGTATGTGTTTGTGTGTGCTGTATGAACAGACTTATTTATCAATTGGTTTGAAAAGTATTGACTCTGGAGAGACTGGGTATTGATTACACTATTTCAAATTTTATATGCATTTAAGTCATTTTATAATAAAAAGGTGAAGATAAATTTAAAAATTCAAAACCAGAAGTGGTGGGGAGGAAAATCACAATAGGATGAAGAATTTAAGATGGTAGGCTTAAGCCAAGTGCATGATGGTACATGCCTGCATCCCCAGTACTCACTGGGGAGGTTTGGACTAGAAGATCCCATTTGAGACTAGCCTGGGCTATTTAGGACCTGTCTCAAGAAACAGCAAAAACAGGATAAGCAGACTATTTCACAATATGCTATATAAAAAGAAATTACAAAACCAGGGAATAGAGCTGTGGCTCAGTGGATAACACTGTGAAAGCATGAGGACTTGAGTTCAGATCTCAGCTCCCATGTAAAAATAATAGACATGCTGTAACCCCAGTGCTGCAGGACATAAAGATAGGAGAATCGCTGGGACACGCTGGCCCCCAGCCTAGTTATGGTTTCAGTGAGAGACTCTGTCTCAAGGAAATAAGTTAGGGAGGTAGTGAATGCCACCTGACATCCCCTCATCTGCCCACAGGTACACAGGAATGCATATACAGTACACACACAATTACAAAACCAAAAAAGAACAGGTGGACTAAATAGCCAAAAAGCTTGTCAGACTGAGTATTTTCAAAACTAGCTGTTTGACCCACATTGCTGGAGTTAAGCTGGAGGAATACATGAGAGCACTAGCCTTGGCAAACTGGATGACTTTGGTATCGTAGGTGGTGAATTTTTCAAGCAATCAAAGGTTTTTGAAATTCTGAGGTGGGTGTAAACCATAGATTGTGGGATAGTTGACAGCTATTGAAAGACTTCACAGGTGGAAGGTAGCTTTACAGTCAGGGAGGTCTTTTCTGTGGTGTGATTCTACTCAGGAAAAGATCCCTGTGACTTCATCACTAGTGGTTACTTACCAGAAGCCACCCTGGCAACAAGAAATGGGCCAGTGTCTATGACTGAATCAGCTGTGCTGTGATGGGTAGCACATTAGCTCCTTTTTATGCTGTGATAAAAATACCATAATGGAACATAGAAGGAAGCATTTGGGGCTTATGGTTCCAGAAGGACGGTCCATCATGGTGGGAGGCCACCTCTCAACAGGACATAAGCAGAGAGGGCAGACTGAGATGAGGCTTAAAGCCCACACACCCAGTGACACTTCCTCCCAAAGGCTCCACAACCTTTCCGAATCGCACCACCAGCTGGGGACCAGTAGTTGGGTACCTTAGCCTCTGGGAGCCATCGCTCATTCAAACAACTACAGGGGACATTCTAGCTTTAATTGAAGGAGGTGCTGTCCTGCTGTCATATTAACAAGATTTGCCTCTACATAGTTTCCCAATGGTCAGTCCTCCGTTTGCTGAAGACCCCTCTCAGTAGCCTACATGCCAGTCACCACCCTAACCTTTAGAGAGTACCCATGTGATCAAGGACCCCTTAGGATTGCTCTAACTGGATGAGCCGTAGTTCAGTAATGGTTTCAGAAGACCAGGTTACAGTGTGTGAAACAGCCACAGCCAAATATGTGATAAAGAGACATTTAGTAATTTTTATCTACCTATAGAAGTATGGAGGGGAGATAAAAGATACTATTTGTTATTCACATTTGGGTTGCATTTGTAACCAAAACAAATGTTTAACTTAAAGAATGTATAAGAAGTACTTAGATGAAAGACCAAAAGGCAAATAATAATGAAACATGACCATATTGCCTTGGTGACTTCTCTGACTGGTTCTATGTGTATAGTTATTCAGACAAAAGGCAGGCTCCTGGAGCTTTTTCTTTAAAAATTATTACAGCTGTGAGACACACTTGGTGGGGTGGTGGGGGGAGGTTGACAAAGCATCACCGTGTATGATCTGATTTTTTGTTTGGTTTGATACTGCTCTTTTTGAGAGAAGGTCTTGCCATATAGCTCAAGGAAAGAGCCCATATTTTGTTTGTAGTAGCAATTTCCCAAGTGTATATCTGTCAGAATTTATAGAATTGTATGCTCTAGGCTGGCATATATTCTTTTCAGACAGGCCTCTTGTCATGTACCACAGGCTAGCCTCAAGCTGGTCCTCCTTCCTTAGTCCCCCAAAGTATTAGGATTATTGTATAGTTTGGTTTCATTTAAATTTTAACTCAATGAAACTAAAAACATTTAAAATATCAACAGCCATCACTAGCCACACCCTGGGAGACAATGTCAGTGATGGCATCTTTATCCAAGGATTGTCTTCTGAATTTACAGGGACATAGCCCTTTGTGAGCATGTCTGTGTGCTCAGTACATATACCATTAAGAACAAATGAGCAACCCAATGAAAATGGGCAGTGTGTAAATAGCAGCTTCACAAGCAAGAGTGTCCAGGTGGCTCAACATTTTATCAACAAGGAAACACCAGGTGGAGGGCTGGGGCAGTAGCTCAGTGCATAAAGTTTTTGGCTGTGTATGTGTAAGGATTGAAATTTTGATCTCCAGCACCCACATTCTAAGCCAAGTAGGCATAGTGTACCACTTTGACATCCACCTCGTCTGGAAACAAGCAGCCACTGTAGTTTCTGTTGGTATTTTCTAGAATTTTAAACAGAATCATGTAGTATGTGCTCTTTGTGGTTGTTTCTCCTCACATGTATTCACATGGATAATTGGGGTAAGTCCTGATTGGTTATTCTGTGGACTAATATATACTAAATTAAGTTAAGCTGTCTACCACAGAGCTATAATACACCCACAGCCCTCTTTTCACTATCCTGGAGACAGGGTTTCTCATTGAACTTGAAGCTAGGCTGGTGGCAGACAAGATTTAGCAATCCTCCTGTCTCCATGTCACTTTGCCCCTGAGTGTTGAAGTTACAGGCACACATACACCATACCCAGCTTTTTACATGGGTTCTAGAGATTTGAACTCAGGTCCTCATGTTTACATAGCAAGCACTCTTACCCCCTCAATCATCTCCCCAGACCTCTTACTAAGTTACGTAGTCCAGCCTTGAACTTGGAGCTCTGCCTCAGTCTCTAGAGGCTGGGATTACTGACCTGCACTACAAGGACCAGCCTATTTTCTGAGTCATTGCTTCTGTTTGGTGGTATTTAGGATTTTTGCATCTATATTCATAAATAAAATTAATTTACAGTTTTCTTTTTGTGCTATCAGGTTCAGATATCAATGTTACTATTACTTCAGAAACTTTCCTTTTTAATGTTCTGGAAGTTTTTAATGACATTGGGGCTTTTGGTAGGCTATAGAGTCTCTGACAAAGCATATGGATTTAGTGCTGTTCTGGGAAATCCTTTCATAGCTTTATTGTGCAGAAACTGGTGTGCTTAAGCTTCTGCCTCTAAAGGGATCGATTTTTACAAATTTCATGTAATTACTCATGTAAGCATTCATATTTACTTGCATAATTCTTTATAAAGTCTCTTAGTAAAGCTTTTTCATCTGTTTATTTCCCCCTCCTTCCCTTTCCCCCTCCTTCCCTTTCCCCCTCCTTCCTTTTCCCCCTCCTTCCTTCTCTTCCTGGTTCTTTTTTCTGCATTTCCCCCTCCTTCCCTTTCCCCCTCCTTCCCTTTCCCCCTCCTTCCTTCCTTTTCCCCCTCCTTCCTTCTCTTCCTGGTTCTTTTTTCTGTTCTCCTTTCACCTCCTTCCCCTTCTTCATTTAAGATTTGTTAATGCCTCTTTTTTTCTTAGCTAGAACTTTGATATATGTCTTTTTTTTTCCCTCCAAGTATCAACATTTTAATTTGTCAGGACTAAGTGTGGGAGTGACAAACCCTGGTGTGGGTCATGTCCACGACTAGATTCTCACTAAGCGGTGGCTGCACTTTGCAGGCCAGGGTTAAAGGTTGGGATGCTGCCGATGAACTCAGCTCCTAGTGTTGATGGTGAGAT